ATAAAGAAGAGGTGCTATATATATACAATGGAATATTACTCAGCCATCAAAAAGAATGAAATCTTGCCATTTTGCAATGATATGGATGGAGCTAGAGAGTATTATGCTCAGCGAAATAAGTCAGAGAAAGACAAGTACCATATGATTTCACTCAGGTGGAATTTCAGAAGGAAAAGAGATAAACATGGGGGGTTGGGCGGGGTGAGGCAAAGCAGATAAGAGACTCTCAACTATAGAAAACAACCTGAGGGTTATTGGAAGGGAGGTGGGCAGTGGGATGGTTTAAATGGGTGGTGGGTATTAAGGAGAGCACTTGTAATGAGTACAGGGTGTTGTATGTAAGTGATCAATCACTAAATTCTACAACTGGAGCACGTGGGTGGCTCAGTTGTTAAGCGTCTGCCTTCGGCTCAGGTCATGATCCCATGGTCCTGGGATTGAACCCCACATCGGGCTCCCTGCTCTGCGGGAAGCCTGCTTCTCCCTCTCCCACTCCCCCTGCTTGTGTTCCCTCTCTCGCTGTGTCTCTCTCTGTCAAATAAATAAATAAAATCTTAAAAAATAAATAAATAAATGAATTCTACAACTAAAACTAATATTACTCTGTTAACTAACTGGAATTTAAATAAAAACTTAAAAAAAAAAAAGAAAGAAGGAGGTTAACAAGGAAAGAGGATGACAGCCCAGCTAAAAAGAATTTTTTAAAATAAATAAAATGGATTATCCAAGACACCTACCATCATGGGGTTTTATGCAAGTGTGTATGTGTGTAGGTATAAAGAAGTTAGGGGAACATAAACATGGATAAATATCTACAAACTTATGGAACTATTTCATGATAAACTTTTGAGTGAAAAGAAAAATATAGCAAAGTATTATGTATGGTGATTCAACTTCAGTAAAAACAAACTAAGCCCCTGTGTTATACAAATAAAGAGAAAGGAGTGCAAGGATACCCACTAGGCTATTAATGTTAATTACATCAGGAAAAAAAAGTAGAAGAGACGATACGTTTTTATGTCTTTGTACTGTATTATTTCAATTGTTTCAATAAGTATATAGTAATAGCCTAAAATCATTTAAAATTTTTAACTTAAAATTATTAAAAAGCAAGATGGACAATTTAAAGCAATATCCCAGTTGTGTAAACTAAGGTATAAGATTGGTATGATATATATACATATATACACATATATGTATATATATGCTAGACATATCAGTTATGTTTTCTGATATGCCATAAACCCTGCTGAATGGCTGCCCTTCACTCACCCATCACAATTCAACTGATACAGAAATAAGCAACTAAAAAAAAGTCAGATATTCATAAATATGCCAGTCACCTATGACATATTCTGATACATTAAAAAAAAAAAAGCAGGATCAATCAAATGCCTCTCCTAGTCATTTTAACAATGAGTAATAAAAAAACAAGGTAGTTAACAACCAGGCACTAAGGCTTAAAAAAAAATGCATAAATGTGCCACAAAGAAGTTAGGACTTGAGGAGTCTGGATAAAATGAAATTATGAGGAACAGAAATCACATACAAATAAGCAAGAGCTATAAATACAATAAAATATAAAGAGAGAGAATAGGATAAATAGGACAGTGCAAAGACAAAAGAACATCCAGAGAGAGACTCATGAGAGTAAGAAATCATACTAACTCTAGAGGTATTTCAGGGAAAAAAATTATACAGAAACTGCAGATCCAGAAGAATGAATTAAAAGGTGCAACTGGTTTGATGAATCTTTCTCTGATATCCAACCAAAAAGATAAGAAGTAAAGATTACTTTTCTATCTCATTTTCTAAAGATTCCTGAATTCTTCTTAAAGTATAATGTTCTTTCCATTTCAACTCAAATCCATAATTCAGTAACTTCCCAGTCTAGAAGGCCAACATGGTCAACACACCCAGAAATTCAGAAAAAAATCAGACTTTAATGATGAAAAAATAAGGCTATTAAGATGAATGAGAAAAGTAAATAATAGTGTAAAAGTCCTAGGATATCCCTTTTTAAGTCAATCAACAAATATTATTTGAGCCCCCTGGGTATTTTTACTGTGTTTACAAACAAGTATACAAATAGCAAGTTTTCCTTCAAAAATGAAATCAATAAAGGTATATTATATTTATCTAAGGAAGAAGATAAAAGAGGATGGAGTGCCATAGACTGAAGAGTGGTACAATGCAAAAGTAATTTACAGAATTAATAAGGTAGATGTTTTATCTTCCACTACACATTTCAATATTGCTCCTGTGTAACCAAATCTCAAAAATATGAAAAGGCCATAAAGAAAAAAGCAAAAAAGAGTATGTAGCTAAAAAAAAAGTAAATGGATCAGTACATTAACTGTTGTACCTACTCTACATGAAAAGGACTCAGAAAAATCAAATATTGATATTATTTGCAGATCCTGAATCATCTAACCAACTGTTTCCCAAAAATACATTCCACAGAACTCTAGTCTCTCAAGATACATGTGGAAAAAAGCAAATCAAATAACTATGGGGAACAACAACTATATCCAACACCTGCCCCAACTTAGAAGGTCACAATGCATATTACCATAATTAAAGTTCTAAGAAAGTCCGCAATAAAAAACTGCTTAATACTTATTAACCCACTATTTTCCAAATTGACTTGACCTGGAAATACTATTTTCCTCTCAACATTTATCAGTATGCCATAAAACTTATATTCTGTGAAACATAATTTAGACAGGCTAATGTAAATCTATGATAAAGCATAACAGTACCATTTCTGTTTTTCTTTCAATACTGTATTATAAAAATTTTCAAATATACAGAAAAACAGAAAGACGATCACAATGAACATTCAAATACTCTATACTAAGGTTCAATAGTTGTTAACATTTTACCACATTTGCTTTGTCTTCCTCTTAGTGTTATATATAATAAATGTAATTTACGATATATATAAAGAACAGCAGACACACCATAGAGATAGACAGATGGTAGGTAAGCAGGTAGGTAGAAAGAGACGGCGGTGGGGGAGGTGGGGGAGAATGGCTGATTCCTCATATAGTCTTGGTTATTTCTCTTCCTAAGATATAGCTAGTACTCATTTCTTGAGTTTCTATAATATATAGCCTCTTAATTTCTCTTTACTTAGAAGTTACTCACTGATATGAGGAATTCTTAATCTCAGGAAACAAACTGAGGGATGCTGGAGTAGTGGGGGGTGGGAGGGATGGGGTGGCTGGGTGATAGACACTGGGGAGGGTATGTGCTATGGTGAGCACTGTGAATTGTGTAAGACTGTTGAATCACAGACCTGTACCTCTGAAACAAATGATACATTATATTTTTTTAAAAAAGAAGATAGCAGGAAGGGTAAAATGAAGGGGGGGGAAATAGGAGGGGGAGACGAACCATGAGAGACTATGGACTCTGAGAAACAAACT